TTTGCATAAGCGACATAATCATCGATGCCCTCTCCACATATATGTTTTCTGTATGCTTTTGTGGCTATTACCTGTTCTTGAATAGCAAACAAGAATCCTTCTGTTTCCGGAAAGATACTTCCACTCTTCAGCCATGTCAATGACGCCTCAGCGTCCACTCCTACATCCATTAATGAGTGATAAAATCGTCCGTGTAAAGGTTTATTTTTCCATATTTCTGATCGAGTGCCATCATCTGCTTCACTAATCGGGATTCCAGGGCTTCTTAAATTCAAAGCTATATAATTTATATCTAATGATGCGATAGTTGAAAGGATATTGGAAGTATGGTTTATAATGTAGTCGCGAAGATTATTTTCTTCCTTTCGGCATAAATTCAAGAGGCTGATTAGACCACGCCCTCCCGACTTCCTAGGAAGATACAATCTCACTACAGATGACTTTGGATGCCTCTTCCTTGAAAGCACCATCTGTACTCTAAGAAAACGATCCAACCTTTCTAAATCGGTTTTAGTCCACTTCAGTAACCCGAATGAGTAGGCTAAAGCAGGTATTGCCCAGGTATTCAATGCCCGTATCAAATTTCTTCCACTTAAATGTGATTTAAGTACTAATTTAACACGGTATTTAAATTCTTCCTCAAAGTTTTTCTTTGAATTAGCATTGAATTTCAGAAGTTGGTGTACTCCAAGGTACTTGTAAGAATCAGATTCTCTCAATTGATTCATTATTACATTTTCCGATATCTCAATATTACTCCCCTTAATAACTATTCCTCTTTTCACGTGTACTATTGCACATTTATCTATTTCTAGATCCATTTTTATATCATTACTGAACGTTCTTACTGTCTTCAGAAGAGCTTCCATTTCGTCTTCATTCCTAGCGTAAAGCTTGAGGTCATCCATATAGAATGAATGAGAAAGCTTCATTTCAGAGTTAAGTAGGTACCCTTTATCTGTATCAGCCAATAATTTGCTAAGTGGATTAAGCGCCAAACAAAACCATAGAGGACTAAGGGAGTCCCCTTGAAAAATACCTCTCTTTATAGATATGTATTCATTGGAACTCATTCCATTCAAAGTTGGTGTGCTGATTGAGACCCTCCAAATTTTCATCAGTCGTTCTAATAGATCTATTATTGCCTGCTTTACTTTATAGATTTTTAACACTTCCAGAAGCCAATCATGGGGAACCGAATCGAAGGCTTTACGGTAGTCGATCCAAGACAATGTAATATTACGAGATTTTTTTGTAACTTGAGCAGCAATAAAAGAATCGATAATCAGAAGTTCTTTGCAACCTTTTGAACCTGCCTTAATACCTAACTGTTCCGCTGCCATAATATCCTTTTCCTCAATGTAATCTGTCAACTTATTCCTGATTACAGCCGTTAGTAATTGGTATTAAGACAAGTTATGGGTCTCAAATCTCAAAATGTGGGGCTCCAGCCTGTTTTTGCTTCCTTTCTTTATTAAGTGAGTCGTACCGGTACAGAACTTCGCTGGTAAGTCAATCTAAGACAATAGTTTCTGATACCACACAGCTAGGTGGCTATGAACACTGCTAAAGGACTTTAGCCAGTAATTTTGTATTTTTTCTGGACCAGAAGCTTTCCAGTTTTTCATTTGCTTGAGTGCCTTAGTCACATCTTCCACAGTGATACTGGTTGCTTCCATAGGTTGGAGATCTGATAAGCCATGGCGAATATTTTCCAACCAATTTGCTTCATTGTTAAAACATTTTTTACTTTCCCAAATACCTTTCCAATACTCTAATATTTCAATAGGATCTGGATAGACATCGTTATTATTTTCCTTTTTAGGTTTTAAAGATTTATAAAAATATTGTTCTCTTTTATGAAATATTGAATTTTGTCTCCTTCGATCATGAGCTTCTGTATACCTCCTAATTCTATTTGCTAACACTGCTAATTTCTGCTTGAGCGTTTCCATATAAACACCAACTTTTTTATTTAACTCACTTCTTACTACTCCTCCAATATTTAATACAATAATTTCATCAATTTTTTTCTTTAGTTTTAAAGAAGCATTTTCTGGGTTCCGAAGGTAATTAGTAATAATTCCGATTTTACACCGTATATTTTCGATCTTTTTTTTAATTCTTCTCTTCCAGGGAGGATCTTTGCAATCATTAGTTTTATTACAATTCACCTTATCTTTTATCAAACCTAGCTCCATCGAGACAGTTCGGGCCCCTACGTATATCCAATGACATATCTCTTCTAGAGTTATACCCATCGACATACGCTCAGCAAGTATCTCGTTGACGGTGTTGACAGCGGATAAAGTTCTTTTGGAATATGGTACCTTTGGTATAGAGGGTCTACTGTCCAAAGGTATTCCTTCATACATTATGTGTTCTCTTAATAGTATATTACGCATCTCTATGATGTGTGACTCTTCTTGGGTATTCACAGAAGTCGTTTCCAATTGCATAATCGCCGAGAATTCTGCCTCTTCTACTTGTTGTATTTCTATCTGTGAGTTTCGGACAAGTATATTACCTGCTTCTGTTCTGATTGCATTAATTTCCGATTCGGATAAAAACTGGCGTTCTAATATTTGCTTGACCTGGTCAGCGAGTCTTTGAGATGATACAGCTATTTGCGGATATTTTTCATTCCAGTGACGATTGATTCTTTTGCGATATCCTGTTTTTTCTTTCTCTAAGTTTGTAGACAATAAGTAAGCTCGGATAGCAGCAATATTCATATTGCGGTCCCACTTCATCCTTCGTTGCCTACCTATTTGGCCAATGATTCCTCTTTCTCGCGCGGGAGACTCAATGGTATCCAAGCACGGTTCAGAGTTTTATTGATGGAAGTCCTATGGCAGCCGGTCTTACGGGAACATACGACACCGAGGCACCGCTCGCACCACCTGCAGATGTCGAAGGCTGATTATCCAATCCCTCCGAAGCAGCCCTTACTTCGGATTCGTCCGAGGCTATTTGTTTCCTAGTTCGCACCATTTTGATGGGTAGATGCATTTTATACCTGCTGCCAGGTCATCCTGGCATTATTATTATTATTATTATTTTATTTTTGATTTATTAAAGTCAGTGTTTGATGGAGATTTATATACCATATAAATATATGGTGTAGTAAAAGCGTGCGAAAATTGGACACAAAAAAGTAACCTAGGGCTCTGACTAAGTTACCAGACGTAAAGTCTGTCATCCATGTAGGGAGGCTAAGGCAATGGTTGGACATGTTGCCAGGATAACTGAAAAGGACATTCCTAAATAGATGTTTGATAAGCTTTGTGGACTGAGAAACACTAGAAGACCGAAACATAGATGGAGAGAGTGATTGGGAAATTTTCTTGGTGCGAATTGGATTTGGAAAGATGACAAAAACTGCTAGAGGGAGTATGTTCAGTTGTCATACCGTTGATGATTATTAATTATTATATTTTAAATTGTCTAAATTTCCTTATTTTCTGTATGATATCGGACCATGGTTGATATGATATGATCTTTTTTTTAAGTTCTTGAGATATACTATCACCTCTTTAAATATTTTCCCATACTTATGGAGCACTCTTTATAAACTTTAGCATAGGGTAAAATATCGTTCACCCTGGATTGTATGTTTTCTTTAAAAACTGTAAAACAGTTCGTAAAAAAGATTTGTTAGTATGAAGCTCTCGAACTAAAGAAATTTATATCAAGACAGTTTTTTTTTCAGCCCTTAGGAGAAGTACCCTCTGTGAACTATTTTTTTTTTTTTTTCTGTTCTTCCCTACCTCGCCTTTTAGGCTATACGGGATTTTCCCGGCCCAGAGGGTGAGGGCGGGGAATTTAAAATCCCCTCTGGCACCGGGACGCGAACTCGTGACTATTTTCATATAGAATCATATATCCGGTTGCCGGGCAACGGCGGTGCAGTGCAGAGGCGTTAGCCCATTCGGCCACCCCGCCCTCATCCTCTGTGAACTATGTTATCTCCAGCATTTGGAGGCGTAGTTGAGGGCTGGTCTTATCAGGATCTTATACAATTGCACCTTTGTAGTTCGAGAAATAGCTCTGCTCCCTTAAAATACTACAGAAGACCGAAATAGCATTTATTTGCGCACATAATTCTGCAATGGATCTCTGCTTGTATCTCATTATCCGCGTTTACTTGTAAACCAAGGTAAATAGGTAAACTCATTCACATTTTCAAATGAATAGCCTCCAGCCACAAAGTGTACATTCAGTTGTGGGCCTGCATACATATATTTGGTTGTTTCTTCATTAACTTCCAAATCTATTGTTATTTGAAGATTGATAAAAGCATTTTCTAAGTCTGTAGGGATTCTTTCAACAATATTTATGGCATCGGCGAAAATAAGAATCATTATAGGTCTATTGACTTTAGATTCCGCAACTTTTATTCCAGATTTTCGTATCGTACTTATGAGAGCCAAATTGAAGAGCAGGGCTTGCGAGATTCTGACCCTGTCTCAGCCCTGTCTTGGTTTTAAAGCTATCAGTCAGGTCATCCTGAACAAGCACTGTGCATTGCCTCTTCTCCATTGTAGTCCTAATTAGATGCATCAGCTTTGGTGGTATTTCCACTTCTAGAAGATCCTGATATAGCTCAATCCTTTTCGTAATACCATCGGTCATTCGAAAGTCGATTTTATGCGATGCAATCAGCCCCAAAACTATATGTTAAGATTCAATTTACAAACAATAACATCAGTCAGTGAAATCAGTATTATAACGTATCTATTAAATTGTTTATCCTTACCGCTGTACAATCTCTCTTGTGCGAAATCATTCAAGATCACTTGATTATGATCAAGGCTTCTCCAATTTGCAGCAATTGTGATTCATTCGAACATGTTATGATCACCAAATTTTAAAAGAATTAAATTTTAAAGAAGAAAAATTAAATAGAATAATCGTGATAATAGTTCATTCAAAGTAATGTTTAACTAATGTAGAAAGTAATATATGAATATTTAATGAGCGTATTTTCAAATCCTTACTTTCCTTTATATTCGTCAACGCGTAGGTACCTAGAAGAAGGAAAAAATGAAAGAACATGATAATTATGGTGATAATGGTGTCAATATTTTACTAACTTACCACAGGTGCAATGAAGAAAAAGTGTGAAGAGGGCGTTTAGATAAGAGTGGCATTGGAAAGCAATTGCTTCGGACAGTAGAACCAATCATATTTTTAAGTTTGATCACTACAAACATAAATCCAACATCTCAGCTACAATATTGGATTTGAACATATGTAAAAATTAGAATCGAATATTTTTTTTTTTAATTACATCTTATGTTATTTATAATAAAAGTTTATTTGTTTGTAATCACATTCTGCTTGTAACGCAATATGGGTATTTACAGCAGTATGAAGACGCATGCCTGCTTTACAACCCACTGCCAAAAGCAAGACAATATCCATTTTTATCGAAAGTTTTTTTTTTTTATTATTATTATTTCCTAACTCTCAATTTCTGAGATAAAGGGAGAGGAGAGGAGGAGGTTCTTCTATAGGTACGACAGATCCTATTTTAAACTAATTTTGACCCTTCCAAGGTGGATTTGAAACAGTTTTTAGGTAGTTCATTAAAAAAATTAACTCGTGTTACAAGCTAACGCGTGTACACAGCACCGCGCGTAGTCCAGCGACCGAATTATAAATAATAAAATAACAAGTTCGTCCCGGTGCCGGTGGGGTTTTTTACTCTGGCATTAATCCCCTACCTTCATCCCCTAGTTCAGGAAAACCCCGTTTAGCCTAAAAGGCGAGATAGGGGGGACAAAAGGAACTCAAGTACTTTTATTAGTAATTAAGTATATCTATAATGACTACATTGCATGAATGTTTAAGTTATCAAAATGTTCAAAAATTACAAATACTTTTCTTTGTTGCATTAAAGTATTTGGCATTGAGCGTATACTCGTCAGCTCCACTTCCTGTAGCAGATTCTCAGTGTTTTAGGTCATAAGCGGTACAGATAAATAAGATTGGCCGGCAGGTCACAATCGGATCACAGATTAATGTAAAAGCTTACTTTTTGAAGATAGTGTACAAAACACTTTATTTCGGAGTCAACAGTGAGTTTAAATTAAAAATGGGCCAAATAGTCATTAACCGATACAAACTGATTATGATTATAAATTTGAAATAATTTTCCTGTAAAAAAAGTATTCTTAATATGCGTAAACGTTATTATAAAATCTATAACAATCCCCTTGAACCGAATGAACTTTGATTATGAATCTCACAGATGAATCTCATTGCGTTTTGATTATATTTTTTACCTTATGCAATCACTTAGTCAGTTCTAGTCAAACTGTTGTAAGAAAACTTCTGTACTATCGCAGTTCAGGAGTTCGTGATAATCGCTTTAGTTTGAATAAAAAAACAAACACAAAAAATAAAGCGCCCATCGCGTGCCTTGTGTCGAAGGTTAACTTGCGAAGTTCGACCATTAACTGTAACAAGTTAGAGAAATTCATCCAACAGTTTCTTGGTTCTCAGTACTTGACAGTTCGGCTTAACTAATTAGCAACAACTAGCAAACTATTTGCATCAAGCTCAGTACAATTTTGAAGTGAATTATGTAATAGATACAACTCTAATATATAGGTGGAATATCATAAGAAGTAAAAGAAAATATTCAAGTAAAGTATAATTACATTTTTACTCAGTTTTTTTTAAATTTTACTTTCACTTACCATTTGAAATTACTATAAATATATAGGCGTTAATTAATTAATATATTACTATAAATATTATAGTAATTACTATAAATTTATAGTAATTACTATAAATATATAGTAAGGGTGACTACTTTCACTTACCAATATATGAAATATATAGTAAGAGCAAGTATTGCAATCGTGAAAATTTCGAAGTTGAGTTCTCAACGTAAATACACGTTTTGAGGTACCCTGAGTACAAATCACTAAGTCCCACAAAATGGTCTGTGTGTGTGTGTGCGAGAGATGTCACAGCAACTTTCTCCTAAACATCGGCTAACCGGAAGTGGTACTTTATATAAACGGTGTTACATTTTCACAACTTTCTCAAAAACGGATCTAACGATTTTATTGAACTTGGTGTATCGTTGTATTATTAAGTTATTTTTAATATCAGCTAGGTCTTATGTACATTGATATCACTTTACATGGATCAAATGCCCAATGTTCATATACGTCTTCCTCTGGCTACTTATAACTTTTGATAATTGAATAAATGAGTAAAAAAGAAACATGCTTATCCACGTCGAAAATTAAACTCAGCAAATAATAGTCAGGTGTACGTATAATATATCGTTGGAAAGCGGAGAATTTTAGAAAAAATAAAATCTTAAAAAATAAAATAAATAAAATTGTAGAAGAAAACGGATAGTGACTAAAAAAATATAAATAATAATTTCTGACAACTAACATAACTTAACGTAAATGACACGTTTTCAAGAAAATTAAATAAATTTTTCTTACTAAATGTAAACTTTAAAATTCTTTTTTAAGTTTGAAAAAAAAGGATTTAAAATCCACGGAATGAAGGCAATGACATTGTTTAAGATACTCTTCCATTGTGTTTGTTTGAAAGAAGAAGAAAAATATAATAATATTTCATGGATATGTTTATAACCTTTAATATATTTACAATAGTTTAATGACTCTAGATCTGATATTATATTTAAATAATAAGGTATCTCTAGTCCGAAAAAACATTATGTAAATTTTTATAAAATTGAATTAGTGAATAATTTGATGAATTTTCCCTTTGTGGTGCCCCAACAGTATCCACATAGAATTAGTGTGACAACTTTTGACCTATCTATGACAGGCAATGCAAGTCTTGTAATTCCATTTTAGTAAACTTTGCAATGGAAAATAACAGGTTAATAACTAATAGACTCACAATCCATAATCAACCGTTGATGTAATAAATAAGATTGTTATTATTTTAATAGTATGAATGATTTGTGAGCTGTACGCTTTAACTTTAGCTCGGTTAAAAATGAACTCTTTAAAATTTTTTCTTCTTTAAAATAAAATAGTCCAACTTAGCCCCAACTTAGTCCAACTTAACTCAACTTAGCCCAACTTAACTCAACTTAGCCTAACTTAACGCAACTTGACCAAACTTAGCCCAACTTAACCAAGAATCGTTTATAATAAAAACAACATCTAAGGGAATTATTCGCTACAATCTATAGCGCCACTAGTTTTTCGACCTGCAAATTGAAACGAAAGGATAGTTTTTTTTTTTTTTTAATCTATTTATTGAATAATAATACAATCAGCCACTGCTGGAGGGCTATTAGCATTAGGGCTGAAAGTTCTCATTCATACAATATATACAAATAATAAATAAATAAATATAAATATAAGAAGTAAATAAATAATACTGATGAAGAAGGTAAATAAAATAAAATAAAAACTTCTAAACACAATCATAACTATATACAATATATACATACAGGCTTTTTCCCCCACACGTGGAAGGCAAAGCAAGACTCCGGAAGATCCCAGCGCCACTTTTCCAGCCGCATCACTAGTATTAGAAGCCAGTGGAGACTGAAAGAGGGCACCAGAGCCACAGAGGCACAGGATATGAGTGGAGAAGCTGGCCATTGCCAGGACTCCAAAGGCATATTTACAAAAGATCTCGAGGCCACTGCCGTTTCAACCTTCGAGGGGGATGGTATGGATGCTTGGAGCTGGATAGGGATTGGGCTAGAGGATTGGGATGATGAATGAGGTTCTGGTGAAAGTTGGAGAATCTGGATGGGATGATGTCATGGACATATGGGATGTTAAGGTCATGGTGTAGGGTCTTGTTCGTGACATAATATGGAGCATTGACTATTGTTCGAAGGACTTTAGACTGGAAGGATTGGATACGTTTGGTATTCGATGATTTAGTTGTCCCCCACAGCTCAAGTCTGTAGGTCCAGATAGGTTTCAGTATGGTCTTGTAGATTAATAATTTGTTTTCTGTTGAGAGATGAGATGTTCTGTTTAGTAGTCTATATAGCTGATCAAATCGTCGGTTAAGCTCTTTTCTTTTAAGTCTCGTATGTGGGTTCCAAGTCAGTCTTTTGTCCAGAAGGAAGCCAAGGTATCGGTCTGTGTCTGAGTAGGGAAGAGGAATTGAATTAAAAAGGATTGGCGGACAGGATCTGCGTCGAAGAGTGAAAGTTACATGTTTGCATTTTGATTCATTAATTTTGATGCGCCAGTTGTTGCACCACTGCTCAATGAAGGAGAGGTGTCTTTGCAGGTTCTGGGACGCAATTAGAGGATCCGAGTGGGAGGATAGGATGGCAGTATCATCAGCAAATGTTGCTAGGAAGGTATCAGGACTTGAAGGGATGTCAGCAGTGAAAAGGTTGTAGAGAACTGGGCCCAAGACACTGCCTTGTGGAACACCAGCCTCAACTGGATAATAATTGGAGAATTCAGTGCCGCAGCGGAATTGAAAGTAACGATTTGAGAGGTAGGATTTGAGGACTAGATACAAGGATTGGGGTAAGTGAGTTTTGAGCTTGAAAAGCAAGCCATCATGCCACACCAGGTCGAAAGCTTGTGCTACGTCCAGAAAGGCACTAGTGCAATATTGCTTGTTTTCAAGCGCAGAGGATATATGGTCAACTACGCGGAGGCCTTGTTGAACAGTGGAATGTCTTGAGCGGAAACCAAACTGATGGGACGGGATATTGTGGGATTCGAGTATGGGTAGGATACGTTTGAGAAGGAATTTTCAAAGATTTTCGAGAGGATCGGAAGTAAGCTTATTGGTCTATAGGATGATGTATAATTAACAGGTTTACCTGGTTTAGGAAAGAGGATAATTATGGAGTGTTTCCACACCAGAGGAAAGTGGGTTGGGCGGAGGATACAGTTGAATAGGTATGTAAGGAATATTAAGAAAAAAAAAAAAAAAAGGTATAAAAAAAGGATAGTAACGTCGAGTGGTGGCTCTGGTGACGTCTGACTGAAACCAAATCTCAAAACAATTGGCCTTAGGGTGCTTAGCTTTTTTTATTTTTTGGTCGATTATAAAGGTTCATTAATTAAAAAATGAACCAAAAAATAGATGCAAATAATTGCATCGACCATTTCGAAATAAATTTAGTTTCAACACCTCAAACCTCCATTTTTAATTTTTTACTATTAAATTTATTTGCTATAATATTTTGAATGTACAGGCGGATCTACGGAGAGTCTTT